TATATATATATATATATATATATATATATATATATATATAGGCTTCTTAGCAAACTTAACACGACTGTGGGAAATTCCCTAGTTTAACACGGTAGAGCAGCTTCATAGCTTTTGAGACGATAACGTAGAGGTTTCGCTAGAGTGAGGATTTGATGTAATCGACATCAGATTTTTCTCCCTGAGATATACGAATTCGAAGAAACTAGTGATGGCTACAAAATACGTTGGCAGCATGCCGAGCCCCTTAACAAATGTCATGCCGCGGTAATTACATTCTATCCCATATTTGGATAGAATAACGGCCGTCTCCTCGGTCACTTGTATTTCTCCAGCGACTCCGGTAGAGTCCATTCGCGAGGCCATGTTGACAGCATTACCCCAGATATCGTAATGCACCTGCGAGGCACCCACTACCCCGGCCATCACCTCTCCACAGGAAATACCAATGCTTATGTCGGCGTTAAATACAGTACGATCGATTGGAAGGTTCATATAATTATTCTTACACACCCACAGCGTTCTCATTAGGTCCAATGCAAAGGTGGTTAACACTAATACCACTTCCTCCCTTTTCTCGGTCAGTGTATAATTTCCCATTTGGATAGACGCTGCCGAGGCACGTGCGCGGTGGACTGCAGAATAAAATGCATATTTCTCTTTTGAATATGCCTACGAATGTAGATACTCACTTTCCTGAAAAACAGAGTCGCCCCTTCGAGCTTCGTCACTTATTAGCGAGGAAAAGCGTAGATCCAGTCCACAGGCTGCCATGTAAGTACAGCCCACAATCTTTATCTTTTCTACTACATTTTCATCTCTATAAAAAAACAACTGCAGTAGGAAGGGGAAGGTCTTAAAGTATTCAACGGGTACTCTATAAATAGCTCATACGATTTGATCAAATTGGACAATAATTTCGTTGAGGATATGCAGGTTGGGCAATGTCAAATCAAAATTTTGAAGCGAAGCGAACATGACGGCCACCATTTCATAGTCCTCATAGTAAAGCTCACACTTGGCCACCGAGGTCAGATAGACGTTCACTGCATAAACCAATAGAGAGATGCTCATAACTATAATAATTTCATATATAGTAAACAACTCTTCCTACCAACATGGGCCGGCAAGATGTTATGTAATAGAATAGTTATAGACTGATCGGCTATGCGAGCATCTTCTTGTTTTTTCAACAGTTCTTCCCTCCATCTAAAAAAACTCTTGTGCTTCAGCGGTTTGCGTTTCGAATTTTTACTCACTTGTAATTGATTTTGTTATTAAACTCAGCCTGTCGCTCCTGGAAATACAAAGTGCATACGGTAATTATAATCATTATTAAGTGCGCGTATTCGGCAGGAAAATAAGGATTGGTTGTCACGCCATCGTTAATTATGTCATCGAATTGATAAAGGAAGATGCTTGAGTAGATGACGCTTACGAATAGGCTCACTATTATTTTCATGGTGAATGGTATACGAGTAAATATAATGGCCATGAATATGATAAGGACCACTGAACAGCTCAGTGGCCACGGAGGGAAGCATTTGAAGTCTTGGTCATATTTATACAGTATACTTTCAATGCACGCTATCTGAAATTCTGCCTTATCACAGTCATCCTACAAGAAAAACAAATTTATAGTATTCAACCGGGACCCAGCCAAAATCGATAGCTACCCACCAGTATGATAGATATGATTATAATATACGTTATCATAAAGTAAGTATAGACAGTGATCCTCTTGAAGAGACTACACTGTAAATTGTCTGCCATATAAAATAGGGCGCAGCTAAGAGAGGAGTAGTTGTGGTAGTGCATAGAATATCGCCAATAGCAGATCTTCTTATACCAAGCCAACAGTAGTATCAATGATAATGTAGTGAACGTCAGCATGTCGAAATAAAAGCCGCTGGAATTTTGTTTATCGTCAATAACCAGATGCAGGTATATGAGACTCATAGCGCAACACCAAGCCAGAAGTACACTATATTTGAACATGTAGTCAGGCTGATGTAAATAATTATATTCCAGTGCAGGATTTCGAAAATTTAAGAAAAAGGTTCCGATTTCTACACGGGATATACTAGGCAATTCTTGATGGTACTTTAAATTAAAGAGTTTACCGACAAGCAGTGAAAATCTGTTTAAATATGTAAAATAATATTTATTTATTATAAGTCTTAAAAAGCTTACCCATTGGGACCAAGGGGCATTTTTTTCAATTCTTCGCTTAACACTAGACCAGAACTTGATTCCTGATTCTGAATGACATTGAAGGAATCATTGGATTCACTATCCAGTTCAGCGCTTTTTCCTTTATCATTTATACTGATTATGAGGTATGTGATAATATTGTGCCTTTGAAGGTACGCATCTTTACGTGCGGCCTCAGAGCCAGGATATACTTCATACATATTTTGGATCATTTGGAGAGTTCTCTCACTGATATGAACTTGACCAGGCATTCCAGTTGCTTCTAATTTGTTCGCAATTAACACATCTTGACCTTACAGTGGAAAACATATCCATTGAACAAAGTACGACAAGTGATCTATTTTAAATTAAAGTTACCCCAAATATCATATTGCAGTTTAGCTGATCCAAGAACTCCAGCAAACAAACTTCCCGAGTGAACGCCAACACGTATGT